CTCATAGCGCATGAGCAAGAGAGCGAGACGAAGCATGGGATCTGGAGTAAAGAGTAAGATGGGCATCGTCAATGGAAAAGGATGTTTTCCGATCTCGGATGCAAGTAGTGCGCCTCAGTGAGGCACAGTCACATATCAGGCCGGGCCCGGCTTGAGCCAGGCACGGCAGCGGTACATGCTCAATTTATACCTCGCCTTTAACCTTCTCCGTTTAAAGTCAGTGACCCAAATGTCTCCGTCGTGCAAATACGTGCTGTAAGCTGCCCACCTGTGGCAAGGCCGACATCGACACCGCAAACGCCGGGTTCCTCTGGAACCCCGACACGAGCCCCCAGGTCGATGCTTTTAACGGGGGGGGGCACCCGGAAATCCCGAGCCTGTGTTCAGGAGCGAAAGGCACACGCCGGTAAGCGGAGTCGATGTCAGCCTTAAACAGTGCCGGTGCGTGCCCGCGCAGACCGTGATAGCAGCGCAGGGCGTCCACCAAAACGTCAGCCCCGTCCAGCAACAACCTCTCGGCGGGCTGGCACGCCGAGTTGATGCCCCCTCTCGATTCATCGTCTACTACGCGAACCTTGGGCGCGCCATCCGGCTTGACGCCCTGCACAATGGAGAAGCGCGGGGACAGACGCACCCTGCCCAAGTCCGCCTTGGCCAGCACAACCGGAGCGGTCATCCGCGACAGAGACGCATCGGCGAGCGCGCCCTCGTGGATCGCAGACGAGTTCACGTCCTCTCGCAAGGAAGACAAAATGGCTCTATTGTGCACGGGGGAGGAGGTCAGCAATTCCTCGGACGACGTGGGCTCCGGGAATTTCTTTGCGGGCCCTCTGCCCGCATGGGGCAGCTTTCCGAGCAAAGGCGCGCCGTAGCGGAACAGATCAGCCGCGGCCGTGTCATCGTAGCTCGTCATGTCGAGCAGAGCAGCTAAAAGCGGCCATTCACGTCGGCGGACACGGCGCGCGTCGCGTCGTCAGCGCCGGCGAACCATTGCTCGACGGCCCCGTCACGTCGTAACGCTTGTCCCCACGCTTCCAGGCGTGATAGTATATTGTCGCGCAGACGCATAACCTCTACGCTGTCTCTGGACGCTTCCCACTCTATGGCGCAGCGAACGTCTTCCTCAATCCCGCGCGATGGCGCGATGTGTAATCCGTCCTTCATTGCACAGTTGATAAATTCTATCTTCTGCACGTCGCCAGCGTCAAGCTCTCCTACAACGCGACAGATTTTTAAGGCAGGCGCGCGGAGCAAAGACGATACGCGTATGGGGCCTTTCGCAAATGGGCTTTGCACCCGCCCACCGTGGAGCGCCCGCGCGGAACTTCTTCCAGTGAAAACAAACGGTATAGGCTGCGCCGGGTCCAACGACGGCTAGGCCTGCGCAAGCGCGACGCCACCGCGCGCGACATACATGTAGGTGCGCCGCGCTTCAGCCTCCTGTCCGCGGCATGCTTCACATGTCACCGCTGGACTCTCAGCTGCGCCTGCGCGCCGTCCGGCTACCGCCGTCGCGCGCGCGCGCACCGACCCGCGCCTGCGCGGCGCAGGAACGTTGATCAGCGCTCGTGATGCCTGGCTCTCTTGGCCCGCGGCCCCCCGTACTCGCCGCGGTCGTTCGGCGCCGCCGGGGGCGCAGGCGGGAACTTGCCCTTGCCGCCGCCCTCGGCGCCCTTGCCGCCGCCCTTGCCGGGTTTTCCGCCGCCCTTGGCACCCTTGCCCCCGCGGGGGGCTGAGCGCTCCTGACTTTCGCGATCGTACGCGGCCTCTGCCTCGCCCAAGAGAGTCACATCGATCGTTGCCACGACAGTTTCGATGTCGAGGGAATCATCACCGGCGCGAGACCTCTCTGCCCAAGTGCGCCGGCAAATCTCATCGTATACGAGCCCCAGCGCGCCGCTCCGATTAGCATTAGGCGCCTGCGCGGCCACCTGCCGCGCCGCGCGCGCATCGCACTCGCGCCGCTGGATCCGCAGAGCAACGGCGATAGGCGGGCCTTCATGACGTTCTGGCGGTGGCGAATCGTCGCAGCCAGCGTCATCTGCTCCGTGCAGTCGCAAGCGATGGCGTACCTACGCGCTCGGACGACGCCGTTGCTCTTGGGTGCGCGCCCCGCGCGCAGACGCGTGCACCTGTCGAAGGCGGCATGCCATTGCTTGAAAGTGAGCGACTTCGCTTTGACTGGGTTCGCTACGCCGAGCGCGCGCGAAAGGTCGCGAAGATCCCGAGACATGGGCGGGCCCTCATCAGCCTCCTCTTTCGCGCTCTTCGATTCTGCCCAGGACGGCAAGAAACTCCTTTGTATTTGTATTTTTATAAGGTCAGCGAACACAATGCCGATGATGCCGCGACGCTGCAGCCGCCTCACGTCCGTCTCGAGGGCGTCGACCGCCGCGGACCGCGGCCAAAACGCCTGGCCCACATCCTTCAGAGCGCCTCCTTGCAACTTCGCCTGAATGTCCACGTGGCACATCGGCTCAGGTGCTGACCCGCTCCCGGCCGCGCTGCCTGCGCTGGCCGGATCAGCCGCGCGCTGATCCTCCGCTGTCAGAGACTTCGCGGCAGCCATCACTCTGGCTAAGAAGGAGCGCTTACCCGCGGACGGGTTGCCCAGCAGTGCGCCGGGATCTGCAAACGCAAGATCACGCACTGACTCCAACTCATTGTCCTGCGCGCGAGGCACTGGCGCGTCGTGGCGGCATTCGCAGCCGCTCGCGGCGCCTGGCATAGGGCTGTGCACTGCCGAAGCCACTCGGCGCCGCGGATTGTATCATCATGGGCCGCAAGAAAATCAGCCAGGCTCATGGAAAGCGTGGGCGTTGCAGCGCACATCGCTGGTGCGGCCGCGGCGCGCCCAACGGCGTATGCGGCTCGCGTCTTCTGCCTGCGCGCACTGCTGGCTCCGTCGCGTAACAACGATCATTGCGCGCGTCTCCTGACGAATGTCAACATGCTGGGCGGCGGAAACCGGTCGCATTGACGCGGTAATATTGGCGTGGTCGCACTGACACGGTCGCGCTGACACGGTCGCAATGACGCATTCGCTTTTACACATTCGCATTGATGCGGTCGCGGCGAGACGGACGCGTTGACATGGTCGCAACGGCACGGTCCCCTTGACACGCCCCACAAGACACGGACGCAGTGACGCGGAGAAATTGGCACGGTCGCAACGACACGGCGTAATAGACGCGTTGCGTTGACGCAATCGAAAAGACGCGGTCGCATTGACACGGCCTTACAGACGCGGTCGCATTGACGCGATCTTACTGGCGCGGTCGCGTCGACACGGCCAAGGCACGGTCGCATTGACACGGCCGCATCAACACGGTCACATTGACGCGGTCATACTGGCACGGTCGCATTGACACGGCCAAAGCACGGTCGCATTGACACGGCTTTATCGACACGGTCGCACTGACACGGTCGCATTGGCACGGTCGCATTGACACGGCCCAGGCACGGTCACATTGACACGGCCTTATTGACCCGGTCTCACTGACACGGTCGTATTGGCACGGTCGCATTGACACGGCCAAAGCCCGGTCGCGTTGACACGGCTTTATCGACACGGTCGCACTGACACGGTCGTATTGGCACGGTCGCATTGACACGGCCCAGGCACGGTCGCATTGACACGGCCTCATTGACACGGTCATACTGACACGGTCATACGGAAACAAAAGCCGCCACGGCGGCCCGCGACGCGCGCACCGAGGGCGCAAGCCTCGCGTTCGGCCGACAAGCGCCCTCGGGGCAGCGCGCGCGACGCGGGGGTATATTTACCCTCCCCCCACCGCAGGGAGACGTGGACAAAGAACACGAACAAGACGAGGAACACGAAGTCCATGAAGTCCATGAAGACCTGAGGCGAGCCACCCCAAACGCACCCCCCAACCGACCCAACCCGCCCCACCACAGGCACCGCGGCGAACCGCGGCGCCAGCGGCGGGGCGGCAGGGGTAGAAGGTTCCAGGTCCGCGTTTTTGTGACAACGAACAAAACTGCGTTGTGTTCTCGCCGGAACAATAGAAAATAGCTCCACGAGGCTCCGTCATCTTCGTGGGCCCAGCACCGCGCGGCGCGGCGCGACGCGGCGGCAGGCCATCGCACGCGACGTGAATTGTCATGGGCACCCCGGCTTGACGCGCCGGCTGCCAGGAAGCGACGGCGGCGGCCCCGCGCGCCGCCCCCGAAACATAACATAATGCAATCCACATTCGCGCGAGCGCCATCCGCGCCGCCCCCGAATGCCACTCCGGCGATTGGCGCCGCGAACGCCGAGGCAAGACCTCGGGAGCTGGCGGGCCCAGCTGCAGCGCGACAGCCGTCGGCGAATGCGCTCGTCACTGGGCGGCGCCAGTGGCAAATGCGTCGCCCTCCTCGTCGCGTCAAAGAAACGAAGGGAGCGGGGAGGGGCTGCCCCCGCGGGAGAAGACTGCCTGCTCAATGTAACATCGCGAAGAGCATTGAACCGACGGTGCTTCGACGAAGCGCCCACAGACGAATTCTCGCATGTGACATGCGACCTGGATGTCTCATCGCTGGGCGCAGCCCCTCGGCGCCCCCTCTGTCCACGCAGGGCACGTGCGCCTACACGCACGCGCGGCATTGCGATCGGCGCGCGCACGGGCGGCGCCCCCCAACTATTCCCCAGGGCGTTCCGCCGCCATTGCCGCGGAATGGCGTCGCGGGCAGCGCGCGGGCACGTGGTCCCGGCGCGCTATTGCGCGCAAATACGCAATGCGTGGCTATGGCGCATCGCCTGACGCCGCGCTGAATGCCAGGCGGACCATGTCCGCCTCTGCCTGCGACGGAGCCGGCGACGTCGCGCGCGCCTCTACGCGCCCAATTCACAACGACACTCCTCGATCAGTTCCCCCAGCATGCCCAATATCTTCGCCCGCGCCTCTTCGCTGGAAGCCGCGCGCCCACGAGGCGCCCGTTGCGCGCGGTCCCCTTGCCGCGGACAGGTTCAGTGCTCGTGAAATTCGCGCCTGCGCCTCCTTATCGTCTAAATCCTTTTCCATGTCCTACCGCGCACCGCCGCGGCCGCTGCTGGGGCGCGCTGCGAGCCCAACCTCCACGAGATCTGCCACTGCGGGAAACGGGCTCGCTGGCGCCGCGACTTTAACATCGACCTGGTCGCGCGCGCGCTGCGTCTGGCGCGCTCGACCGGGACTGCACGGGCAACGCGAGTCGCCGTCTCTGCAGGTGCCTGCACAGCTTCTTCCACAAAAGCATTCCGCGGCGGGCTCATGTCGTGGGCCATTTTCCCGAGCGCGAGTTGCTCCTGGCGCCGGCGCCGCGCGCGCGGGCGCGGCGCGGCAACTGCAGCGCGCCGATAACTGATCCAACGCGACGGACGTGAGAACGCGCATTTCTTCGCTTGCCTGCCGATGCATCTGCTGGCTACCCTGGGCGACGCGCTCGTCTCCTCCGCGCGGGTGCGCCTGCTCGAACATCAGAGTTTCTGCCTGTCTCTGTTTCTGCTCAATGCTTTTGATTTTTGCGAGGGCAGCTCCCCCGACGGGAGCCCGGCGCTCGACGGCCACGCGGACAGAAGAATAATTGCCATTGACATTTTTCCCGTCTTCAGACGCAAAGAGAGAGCCGGCGCCGAGGTTTTCACGGCCGCGATCATCGACCCTGCACCGCCCCCCCCCCCCGCAGGATGCCCCCCCAAGAGCGCTGTCTCGCGCGCCGACTCTTGGCCGCCGCCGCCGCGCCCTGGATTGCCAAGCTGGCGTTTTCCAAAGTCCCGGCTAATTCGGATCGCAGGCCTGCCCATAATTCCTCGCGCGACGCGCGCCCAAAGTCGGCGTGCACAGGAAGGCCGAGGCGACAAGCGCGCTGGCGCTAGGCGCGGCAGCCGGCGGCGCGGGCCGCTGCGAGATGGCCGCGCGCGCCGCCAGCAAGCAAAATCGCGCCGACTCCAGCGATTCCCGCGCGGCGACCAGAGATGCGACGGCTGCGGCGACGTCGGGCAGCGGGCGCGCTCCGGGAGCCTGGCCCGAACCGGCCCAGCCCAGCCAAACCGCGACGGCTCAGGCGACTGAAGCGCCAGGCGAAGAGAAATCATCGGCAACGAACTATTCGAGGAGCCGCTTCAGACATCCCTTTTGCGCCACAGTGCAAGCGCTCGCTGCCGCTGGCTCGCCGACGCCAGCATAAATTGCCCGCGCGGGAGTTGCAGAGCGGTCGCGCACCGCAGCGCGATGCCGATTTGTAAAATAATCGCCAAGGGCATGGCGCCCAGCTTGCTTCGCGACGGATACGCTCGAAACCGCGATGTTCGCGCGGACCTGCGCCACGCAGGCCCCTGGGACATGCCCGGGCGCCAGGAGGGCTCGCCACTTCGCGTGATAGCGGATTCGGAGAAGGACGCCGGTTCCGATTGCGCGCGGGCGCCAGCCATCATTTGTTGAAACTTTCGGCGGAGGGCCACTTTCGCCGGCCGTCCGCGAGCGGCGTCGGGCCGCGGCCGCGCGGGAGTGGTCGGGCGGGCAAAAGGGGCGCGGGCGGAGGCGCGGAGGGGTCGAGCCGCGCCGGCCGTTCGAATGCGCGGATCCGCCTGCGCTGCCGACGGCGCCGTGCTCCTCAGCAAACCTAGGCTCGAAAAGATGCCCTCTGCGGCGATGGCAATGGGCGGCGCCATCATCGTCGCCTCCGTCATCATTGTCATCGGCATCATCATCGTCACCATCGTCATCATCGCCACAACCTCCGCTGCCCGCCAACATCATCGATACCTTCGTAATTCTGCGCGCCAAGAGATTTTGATGAACAAGCATAGTGCACGTCACGTGGGTATATAATGCGAGCGCGCTTGCGAAACTGTCAAGTCCCGCCTCGGCGCGGGGGGCAGGGTCTTACATTTTTCGGGGGAATAACACACCTCGCGCGCGCATCCTGATCGCCGGCGCGCGATTCGACGGCGAAGCGGCGACGGGCGCCCACCGCCCGAAGAGCCGTCAAATCCAGCCAGCACGCAACCGACGCGCACCAAGTGCAAATCAATGCCCGCCAGCCGCCAGTCACAAAATTGATCCTGCGCCAAGTGCCCAGCCAAGCACCTCTTCTCCTACGCCGATTGCCCAGCCAAGCACTTCTTCTCGCTCGAAGGGTGGCCCTATCAGCACCAATGTATATGTGTACTATATCTCATAGAAAGAAATACCCATCAAAGAATTAGCCTCGCCAACCCCCCGGCCAACCCCGGCCAACCCTTCAAGGCAATGCAAAGAGCGCCAGGATCGAGCGGGCACGCTCGGACAGGGGCTCCCGGCATCAACGCCGGCAGCGGCATGGCCGCCGAGTGCGAGCGGGCACGCTTGGAGCGAGCATCTTGGCAACAATGCTGGCCATGCGAAGTGAATCAGAAGCGAGCCGGCACGCTCCGGAGGAGCTTCTTGCCGACAGCGCAGGCGATGCGATGGGCGGTGGCTGCGAGCCGGCGCGCTTGGAGCGCGCGTCCCGGCAGGAACGGCGGCAGCGAGAAGTGCACTGGAAGCGAGACGACACGCACGCGAAGATCATGAGGGGGGCACTTGAAAGACACGAGAGGGACACGGGCCCAGGGAACCTGTAGCGAGGGAGCCGTTGGGCAGGCAATGAAACCTGCAGGCAAGCTAATTAAGGCTGTTCAGGCACACGACGACGAAGACGACGACGACAAAGACGACGACTAGGAGGAGAGAGGGAGGACGAGGGGGGAGGGAAACGCTGGAATTGAACAAACCGTGACGTCGGTTTCCGACCCCCCATGACGGCCCAAGCCCTCCAGGATAGTTCAAAGACAGCCCATGGCACTCCCAAGAGCGCCCCAAGTCGGCCCAACAGGACACCAAGATCCCCCAAGAGGCTCCCAAGAGTACCCCAAAACGGCCCTAAAGCGCTCCCAGAGGGCGCCAAGACGGCCCGGAGATGCCCCCAAGACGGCCTCCGAAGGAGTCCGACGGGCCAAGGGCCCCCCTCAGACGGCCCAGGAGGCACCAACAGGCCCCCAACAAGCCCCAGGAGGCCTCCAAGGGGCTCGCAAGAGGCCCTCAGGAGGCTCCCAGGAGGCCTTTTCCGTCTCCTCCTCATCCTCCTCTTCCTCCCCCTCCCTCCTCCTCCTCCCCCGTGCCGCGCGGACGGGGGGGGTCGAATTCACGACCCGTCCCAAGTCGGAATTGTGCCTACATTCAACATCCTTCCTGCTGCGCTGTTGCAGAGACACGGTGGCGGGGTTTGCCGCAGGCAGCTGGATAGCCGCGGAACCTCAATCCTCGATCGACGGAAGGAATGAGAAAGGAGAGGAAGAGAATGGAGAAGCGAGAGGTCAAAAACACCCAAAACGTCTAAAACCTCCGCCCTCGATTGGAGTAGGGACTCAGGGAGGCCCACTCTGCCTCATCCTCGCCGCGCCCATTTCTACTCTACTCTGTCTTACCCGACCCCATGCCATCGACTTTTCTCTACCATACTGCAGTCTACTGTACCCTACCTTACCCCATCCTACCCGACTGTGCCCCATTATCCGATCCTCCCCTCCCCTCTGTACTATTCCGCGCCACTCATTCATCCACGCTTCTCTGCTCGACTCTCCTCATGACAGGGGATCTGTCGACCCCTGCCCCAAGCTTCGGCACGCTTTCGACTGGGCGAACAATGGCGGGGGCCAAGCCTGGGATTCACTGTGGGGGGCGTCCACCCTGGATAGTGGTGCGTCCGAACAGCTCCCTGCTCGTTTTTTCGTCGAAAACTACGGAAGCAAGAAAAAACTGAAGGGCTCCCGCGCGCACGCGATTGCGCGCGCTATTTCGTCCCTGGGCACGGTGCTCCGCGGATGACAACCAACTTCGCGCGCTCCAAGCACGCAGTCTTTCCGCGTGCAACCCACCTGGCGCCGGGCCCACCTCGCAGTGATTTCTGCGCTGGCAGAACAGAAAAAACGCGCAGAGCTCATGAAACTATCGTTCACGAAGCGATCGCTGGGCCCCCGTGGATCATGCAAGATCTCGTCGCTGCCGCCGAGTCGGCTCGGACGTCGCCCAAGCGCGCCGTCGCCCGAGGCCGACGCTGCAATCGGGCAGCCCGCTTTCACTGATTCCCAAATCTGAGTGGATCCCGACAGCGTCTTGGCATAAACATTATACTGCCGAGTTCGCACCACTCGCGCTGGCGCGCGCCCATGCCGCGTCGCGCAGAGACGGCCGGCACCGGGAACACACAGACTGCGCAGCAGCCGACGCGATCGCGGACGAGGCGACGCCGCGGCTATTTCGATGCGCCTGGCGCAATATTCTGCAACGCGCAAATGGCTTGCCCTCTGACGAAAATGCCTGCAAGCCGCCAACTCTTGCACCCAGCCCGCAGCCGATGCGCCGCGCGGCCCGCGCCCCCGCCACTGCCCAGCACATCCGCACAATGAACTGATTTGACCCCATCACGTGCGCCTGCGCGCGCTGCGCGCAAGGGCGATGGACGCGCCAGCGAGCGCAGATGGGCGAGCGGACAAGAGGGCAGGGCGGACGGCAGGGGAGCTCTGTCTCGGAGTCGTCGCCGCTGCGTTCACGCCCTCGTACGTCGCCTGCGCAGCGACGCGCCAGTTCCCTCGCGGCGAGAAAAAACGAAAAAAAAATACAACAAAAACAAAATACAAAAAAAGAATAAACAAGAAAACAACAAAAAAAGCTCGCGTGCAGGGGCGAGAGCGCCTGCAAAGCCTCGCGACCAAAATTGCACCTCCGCTGCGGGGCGCTGGAACGCGCGCCGACGGCCAGGCCGGCCGGGGAAGGGACATGCGCGGCACCTGTTCGCCATTGCTTCTTTCAGGCGACACCTGGCCGGGGTGGCGCACGCCGTATCTGCGACGAAGATTCGCCGCGCCGCGAGCGGCGCGGACACATGAACCGCGCACGCGCAGCCGACCGCTTCCAGGCGACGGGCTCGAGCCAGACGCGCGGCGGCTCGCTGCCAACTTCAGCCCTGCATGCTGAGTGGCGCGCCGCGCCTGCGCTTCGGGGCGTAGCCGCAGCCCCGCGTCGCTCCGAAGCGCCCGACAACTGCTGGCCGCCTGGAGAAGCGACTGCGTGGCCAACGCAACCAGCGCGTCATTGACGTCTACTGCAGTCGGCGCGACGGCCTGCAGCCGCCGCGGCGGGCGCGCCAGGACTGCGCGAGCACGCGTTGGTGGACCGGGCTGGCGCCCGCCAGTGCTTCGAACGCCTCGAAGCACTCGGATCGGCAGGCAGTGCGCCCTCGAGGCCTTCTTTGAAGCCGTCTTAGCTCCTGCGCGCAAGCCCCACCGCATGATTTCTGAAACGCATCTTCGGCCTGGCCACGACGCGACTACCGGGCGCGCCCCCTCGCGGCGCGCGCCCCGCTTGCCCGAGCCGCTTCTCGCGTCGCGATCACCGCTGCAGCGCGCGCTAACGGCGACGGCGCGGGTGGACCTGCCAGTCGCTTAGCGGCGTCGGTGGCACTGCAGCGAAGCCTGCAAGCAACGCAGACGCCAATGCGAGAACCCACTGCGAACCCATGGCCCGCCGCGAACCGAGCGGCAGCCCCGCGCGCAGGACGGGCGCCGTCCTTCGTCGGGCAGCGCGGCGGCACTGGAAGGCGCAGTCGCGAGAGCCGCGCGAAGCACAACCATGAGCGGCGAGACGCGGTCAGCATGCGAAGCATGGGTCGCAGCCAGCCGCGGCTGCGGCTGGCCAAGATTGCCATCGCAATCAAACCAAATCGTTTCTCAAATCGT